GACGCGGATGTCAGCATGGGCACAGGGGTGCCATCAATGGCAGAACAACCTTCAAATATCGTCTGCAAACCGACTCGATGTCGATACAATTTCGCTTTGGCCCGTGTTTCCTCAAGGTATTTAGCCATTACGTCGGGTATGCCAAGGGGAGACAATCAGCTGCATAAGAGGAAGAGTAGAAAGAGATCAATTTAAATGCATTATTCAGCCAGATGCTAGTTAACATAGTATTTACATGCATTCAACATTAACAAATGCCAGTTCTGTTAACTAAATCTCAACTAGAGTATTTAGCCGTATCCAATGTCGCGCGCGTGGTTAGAGTATTTCCCTCACATGCAGCGGAATAGCTGCTTTTCAGCTAACCTGGCTGACTCTGGCTGTGTTTTTCTTTTCTTGTGTATTTTTGTCGCTATCGCAATGTGGCATGTCAATTTATTTGTCAAAGAGAAAAATAAGGCAGGCAGCCGTGTAAGCAGGTGGAAAAGAAACGGCAATAGCAATGGCAATAGCTGAAACATAAAAGCGTCACAGATACGAGAGCAACCGGCGAAGGCGAAAACAATGACAGCCTTAAGTTGAGCCCTGCACACGTGCGTGCACGCGTGTGTGTGTGTATATGTCCAATTGGGGGCGTGACTCGTATGTCTATGTCTAGCTGTGTGTGTGTGTGTGTGTGTGTGCTGGCAGCTTTAAGCACTGCCTGTCAGCTAAGCAATCGATATTTATAGTTATGGTAATCGCAACGAAGGAATCGAGCCCTATTCCCACCTTGCCGCCCACCTTCGGATGAGTATCACGTTAGTCCAGAGATAAGAAATAATATCGTACGTTGCCATGAAAATATTTTCAGGCATATAAAATTCTAGACTCCATCACAGTTGACGGCCTTGCCATTTCCATTTCCCTCCTCTCCCAAAGGGCAAAGCTGTTTTTGTTCCTTCTGCTCCTGCGGCTGCTGTTGCTGCTGGCGCACGTGAATAGTAACATTTGGATCTTAGTCTAAGCATTTTTAAAGCAAACACACTTCGGCTACCCACCTGCTATATCTTGCGTTCCCAGTTCGCCAAAATTGCGAGCTGACAGCGCTGCAAACTGACAGCTCAAACAGTCAGTTCTAATAATAAAAGCCACTTGACATGAATCCTAAATGGCAGCTCAGCTGAAGACAGCTTTCTTAATTAAGATTATGACTACGGCCCGTCTGCCGTCTGCCGTCTGCCTGCAGCTCTGTCCTTAATTATGCGAAATTATGGGCAAAGGTTAACAAGCTGCAAGCGAAGTCTGAGCAAATTGTCCATTTGATGTATTTATTTATCCATGTTGATTATAAGGCAATATTTGGTCTGAGCTAAACTTATCTGGGGGCATCAATCATGGGCTTTGGGCAAACACGTTCTATTCACTTCCTGCAAAGTCTCAGCTGCTACTCAGCGAAATATGCTAATGCCAAAGATCAGTTTCAAAATGTGCCTTTTCAATGTTACACTGCAAGAAAAAGCTCCACTCTAATTCCAATGAGACACAGTCTTAGAGCTGGAGCCACAATATCATCCTAGTTGACCTACCTATTCTAGCTATACACGGAATGAAGGCATTCACTGCAACATCCTCATCGGTTTTTCTCTGTGTAAGCTCCCATTCCACTCGGGTCTCATCTGCGCACTCGCGTGAGCTGCGTGTGTTGCTGTTTAAGTTGTTCAGCTCATTTTACCGATAATGCGCTGCATTATTGACAGTTTATTAAATTGATTTCGTTTCGAGTTTAACAAAACATGTCATGCTGCATCGTCATCGTCGCCCTCATCCTCATCCTCATCCTCATCTCCCTGCTCATGCTCATGCTCATCTTCATCCTCATCGTGAGCGGCATCGTCCTTAACTTCATCGTTCAAGGCGCACGCACATCTTGCCCTGACAATAGCAGCGTCTCCAATTGCCCCCAAGCCCTAAGCCAATTCAAGCACGATGCGAACGGATGCTGCTCCAGCTTCTCTCTGACTTTTTATTGCATGCATGTGTGTCTCTTTATGTGTGAGTGTGTGTGTGTTGAGGCCAAGTTAAGTGCTCATAAAATATTTGCAAATGTTTTGAGATGTGTGCTACGAAACACGACGTTTTAAAACAGACTCACGGGCATTGAAGAATGCCGTTATATTGTTGTTTTTGGATTCTAATGCTGTCAATTAGGTCCTGTAAATAGTTAAACGCTCCTGCCAAACAATGTACTCGAACTTTGTTCATCTCTCTCTCTCTCTCTCTCTCTCTCTCCCTCTCTCACTCTCTCTGTCTCTCTGTCACACTGAACCACAAAAACAAAAGCTTTTTGTTTTATTTTGTTGGGCTAAGCCGGAGTCTATTGGTCTTTCACTTTTCGGTTTTGAAAGTGGTTAGAAAGTTTATACGTCCTGTGCGTGTCTATACATAAATGTGTGTGTGTGTGTGGTGTATGTGTGTGTTGTCCACAGTAAACTCGGTCAGCTCTCATATAAGTTGTTGTTGCTGGCGAAACTTTTAACAAATTCATTAGCCAAAAGAAACGCATCATTTTACATTTGATATGCGAAAAATGTGAAAAGCCAAAAGTTTTCCGAGTAAACAATTACGAGGCTGACCAAGCAGCTGCAAAGATGTCAGTTGATGGAAAGAACAAACAAACCGGAGAGAAAATAACGGAAAAACATTCATAAATGTGCTGGCATTCATTAAGCCCGAATGCGTCGAGTGCAAGACCTTAATTGAAATATAAGGCAGCGGCTGAACAGAGACACACATGTGCAAATAAATCAGTTGGAATGCATCAAAAGTTTTGGAAATTTGAATATCTGATGTTACATTGGGTATTTGACCACTACTCGTATCTGCGACAGCCACCAGCTAGAGCACACACTCACACACTCGTCTGCCATGTATATTTCAATTCCGCCTTTTGGTTTTGTTTTTGTTTTTGTCTAGGCGCTGTTTGCTCAATTCCATGAAGGAGAAAATCAAACACAAATAGCAACAGCAATAGCAGCAATAGCAGCAATAGCAGCAGCATCAGCAGCAGGCGTGGCCAGCCCATTTGTAGTGTTTGTCTCAATGCACAGTTTGCCAAGCAGTTGGCTCCGGTGTAAAACAGGAAATGAAGTATACTTTTAGGCGCACTTCACGCACGCAAGTCAATACGCACACAGATACTGTGCGTGTGTGTAGTGGTAGATACGTTTACATAAGCAGAACGACGTGTGTATCGTACCAAATTGTTATTTATTTTTAGAAGTGCCTCGCTAGCAGGTGCGAGCAGGTGTGCTCGTCGTATCTGCATGTGTGCATGTCTGCATGTGTGCATGTGTGTATCTGTGTGTGGCACACACTCGCCGTCACATTTGCCAAATTTACCGTGTAATTATCAGGAAAAACGGGAACAGCGCGCTTAATGCTACCCAAAATGCAACAAGAAATTCGCAAACAAAGCGTCTCTGCTGTCTGCTGCCTGCCGTCTGTCGTCCGCCGTCCGCCGTCTGCCGTCTGTTGATATGCAAATTTTGTCGCTTTTCATATGTTTGCATCTGTGTTTGGCTCCGTCTGCTGGCGCTGCTTTGTTTGCCCAACTGGCACATGGCCGACCAGCCCAACAGCCCAACAGCCAACCGAGCGCCTAAATGCTCGAAATACGTTCGGAATTTACAGTTTTTCCCATTGCCATATCATTTTTGGCCCTTTTTCCGACTCACGTAAACGGATAGTTTGGTTGACTGCGTCGGCTACCAAACGCAGCCAGAGCTAACAAGCCAATGCCAACATTATATTACTATATATTTACAGTTATATACTGTATATATTTATATATTTCTAAATTGAAATAAACTTCCAACTTGCATTATCTATAATCTGCAGTTAGTTGTGTTTATTTTTTCAGTTTTTTCTAGTTCGCCTTAATTGATTTCGTCGATAATCTGGCATATCGCGCATACGTCCCGTGCGCCAGTGAAATGTAATCAAACTAAATAATTGTTGTCGCTGGCTGCGGCCGCGCTAATGTAATCAAATTGAGTAATTTGCGATATGAGCTAATCCAGTTGGAAAATCCCCATATGCATAACGAAATCAGCGCTAAGCGCCTTTGTCATTTGATTTAATTACACAAAAAAAGGCAGACTAATGCTAACAAAAAAAATGTGGCTAAAACCCAAATGTAAATAAATTGCATAAATAAATTATTTAGCTAAAATAAATAACAATTGACTTTTCAGCGAGTGGTCAAAGGTCGCGCCATGCCTGAACTTCCTACCTCGATGCATATTATATTCATGTTTATTGTCAGGGAATTATAATATCAATTAAGCACAGAGTTCTCGAATTACGGCTCGGCTCTGTAAAACTGAAAATTGAAATTCCAAACAGAATGCCTGAATGGGAAGCAGATGGAGCACAACGTGTGCTAACTGAGTATGTGGGTCATTTGGCATGTGATCTGTGAATGGCCTGAGGTAAGCAGTCGCCTCTATGCCGAGCAGACATTATACGCAGTCGGAGAGCCTGTGCTCCCATTTCCCGCAATTTCAATTGAAGCACAAAACCGAAACCGAAACCTAAACCTAAACAATACCGAAAACTATTCGATACATAGTTGAGAAACAATGGTGCTCTGGTCTCGCTTCCTTTTTACCCATTTATGAGTGAAGTGATTTCCGTTGTAGTTCTTTTGTAGTCGAGCTCTGGGCCCAGGGCTCCGTGCTTGTGCCTGCCAAGTGCTTCGAGCGTCAGTGCATTCAATGGAGTGCACTTTCCTCAAGGAATACTTGAACCCCCAAAGAAAAGACGCACAACAATAAAATGTGCATGGCTTTTGTTTGAATACTCGCACCGAGCTCGGTCCAGGACTACGTTGCGTATACGTATTTGTCAGTTCATTGGCATTGTTCATTATTTTGAATGCTGAGTGCGGCTATGCCATTGCAATTGCTCTAAAATATACGGCCCACAACACAATGGCCGCATGGAAATCATCTATCAAATGAATTGTGCTTCTGTTTATTGATGTTTGCCATTAACAAAATTTACATGGGATTTTCTGCTTTTCTGCTTTTCTTTAGCTTTGTCAGAAATATTCCGATTCTAAAGCGGGAAAATGTGATTGGGATGGTAGCTAAAGGAACAGAGATTATAGATAGCATATATTGGTTTTGGTCATGGCCGTTTTTTTTTTTGTTTTTTCAATTGCAGGCTACTCACATGTCCTCGCGTGCGTAGCGTAGAGTTTCAACCAAGCGCGTGAGTGGGTAAACGCCTGTGCAGATGCGGAACACAGCGGTGAACAGTGGAAATCTGTGAATGAAATCAAATGAAATGCTTCAGTTGAAAGGGTCCTCGATCTCTGCTCGGTGGTCTACAAACTTCTCCTCCAGCCCCTTCTTCTTGAGCATAATGTGCACCAGCTCAGCGGTCACTGGACCCAGCGGCTCATGGCCCGGTACGAGCAGACTCTCCAGTTCATTCAGCGGCTGGCCAGTCTTGACAAAGGCCTCAGCCAGCTTGCGATTGCGATTGGCTGCGAGGCAAACAAAATAGAAATAATTATCTCAAGATCTGTTAAAAACTGCGTACCATAGCAGCTGGTGACTAGATCCGAGAGGCCGCAAGACTCAAAGAAAGTGGCCAAGCGACTGCCTGGATAAAACACGTCCACAAACTGTAGAGTCTCCAAAAAGCCACGCCTGATAACGCCAGCCTTAGTATTCTCATTCAACTCCATGCCATCCGCCAGTCCAGCGCCAAAGGCAATTATGTTCTGGGTGAAGTCGGGAAGATAGAAAGATATAAAGGAGTATAGAGAGATGTAGAGAAAGAATCACTAGATATACATAGATATAGAGAGATGTAAACCTATAGAGATATAGGTATACAGAGATATAAATAGACAGTTATATGTGCTTACCCTTAAGGTCGAGCAGATTTCTACGCAGTCCGCATCGTCTGTGACGACCACACGAAAGGTGTTCGATTTGAATAGGTCCTGGAGAATGCGCATATACTTCTGATCCCGGCAGCCGATGGTGCCCTCGGCGAAATTGTTGTTGGATACCTCATGGGCCAAATTGCAGCCGACCAGCACCGAGCACGGTATCTGGAGGATAAACGAAAGCAATTATTCTGTGAAGAGCTGAGGTGGTTGAGCTCACCTTTAGCTGGCGCATTATGAGATGGGATATTAGGAGTATTTGGCCGTCATCGCCGCGCTCAAAGCCCTTGATGAGGGAGACGGCGTGGGCCAGCGGCTTCACCTTGCCCAGCAGAGTCTTGCAGCAGCTGTTCACAAAGGTGGGCGGAATGGCAAAGATCAGGATGTCCGCATCACGCGCCGTCGTCACCACGTCGTCATAGGCAACCTGTGCGTGGGCCACGTTAGCTGCTTGCAGGGAACAGCAAAGTCGATGCACTACTCACGATATTCATCGGCAGCACGAAGTCGGGCATATACTTGACATTGATGTGCGTGGTGTTGATGATCTCCGTCAGCTTGCGACCCTCGATCATCTCCTCGTAGACGTACATATTCACCTTGGGCTCCATCAGCGGCGAGTTGGCCACGTTGTTGCCCACGTTGCGGGCAATCGTCGTCGCCCAGTTGCCAGAGCCGATAATGCAGACGTTCAGCCGATCCGCCATAGCCGTGTGTCGATTCTATAACTGAGTGAATGAATATATAAAGAGTGCCAGTTTCGCTGAGTGTTTCTGAATGATGTGTTTCTGATTGATTGGGCTAGGCCGACTGCTCCGTAGAGCCTCGTGCCCTCTGGCAGCTCCTCGGGTTAATTTGATGTTTAACATTGCGTTAAATTTGCAATTCATTTATCCGAAACTCTCACGGGCACGCGGCGGACTTTAAGTAAGGATAATGTAAATTACATATTTATGCATATTTATATTTATACATGCATATGTATGTATTCATTTATGTATACAAAAGCCACGCATGCACACAGCCTGTGTAGTAGTATATATGTATGTATGTACGTGCATGCTTATTGATTGAGTTCTGGTCAAATAATTCATCAGAGAATGTGCAGAGGCCTACGAACGTGCATGCGAACGACTGCCCCTTCAGGCGCCAGATAAGCGTATGTGATGGGTGAAAAATTACGCATACGTCACGTTCGCCAAACTGGCTGGCAAATAATTAACTGTGGCTCAGTCCAGCTCGTCCATTGTACATGCGAATTCATGGCATATCCATTCAATAATGTTTGCCATGTAAAATATGAAGCTGCATTGCGTATTCGCATGGCCTGTACACACATTGCTGGCTTTCTTTTTTAATTACGCACTCGTTTAAGGTTCACTGCACAAGTGTTCACTAATTTATGAGCAGCCGGAGCAGAAAAGATGACAGCAGAATAAATAAAATACTTAATTGCACACACAGGCCAACAATTTAAAAGGCCAAAAGCCAAAGTGAAAGTCTCTGCTGCGAAATCAATGTGGCAAGAAAGTAAACACTTTGAAATTGTGCACCGAGTGCGACTGCGACTGCGACAGCGACTGCGACTGCGACTGCGACTGCGACTGGCGACATCGACTGCAGAGCTCAACGGAATGCGCACACACACACCAACGTACATCCACGCACACACTTAACCCTCCTACCCCCCGCTCGATACCACTCGACTATGAAATCAAAATGGATGATGGGCGAAATGAAAATGGAATTTTTAATGAGTTGGCGCAAGCATTGGCCAAGCGAACGGACAAAACAATGGTCATGTGGGCGGCTGAGGCTGTCAAATGGGCGTGGCAACCGAATGACACAATATTTAAGAGCATCGAGGGAGATGTACAAACTAACTGTGGCTCAAAAAACATCAAATAAAAGTGAGCCAGGCGCAATCGATTCCATAACATTCTGTCCTGCTCTTTGTTCAAGTTTTTTGAGAGTCTGGCTACAGAAGTGATGATAATGTTCGATGATAAATGTTCGATAAATATGATAAATCTTTACAATAGATTAGTTTATCACATTGTTGTTATCCTGATTTTCTACTCTCCCAATCGGACCTTTATAGCAATAACTCTACTGTTTTGCTAACAGTGTCATCACTATATAGTTAACAGTGTCGTTACTTAACATAACAGTCATGTGGTTGGCGACTAGGCTAAGCCGTTGTCTCCTTCTAGCACATGAAATCATTATTTTGATTATTATTAAAATTAGACAATTAAATAGGCAAAGTCAAAGAATAGAACTTATATTCGTGTATGTAAATAGGAAGCGCATCCGAATTTTAAGTATGTGTATACGTGTGTTAAAGATTGATCGCTATTAAACTGAATTAACTCAATCAACAGGATTGCTTATTTGGTTATATGTATATTATGCACTATGAGCATATTATGTTATATGATTTTATATTATGTACATATGTATATGACTGCACTATGAATACCCTTAGGAGAGAAATTGCACATACATAAATAGGCATTTATTTGTGTATATATTGTATAAAATATTCAATTCAATTTTAGCTTGTTTTTTTTCGTAATTTTCTATTTTAAAAAATCCAAAACTTTTTGATTTTGTGTCTTGTTTTCCTTAATGGTTTTTCCCAATCATATAAAGCTTTTAATACAAATTTATTTTTAGCAGAGGCTATTGTTATTCAACTGAGATATCTTTGATTTTTGCTAGCGAGGATATTCGGTTTTTTTCTTTTTTTTACAAACTCTGATTTGCAAATAAAGCAAAAATAAACTTTATTATGCGAGGCAACGCCTAGAAATATGTACATTGGCTTTCCTTATACATTTGCAAGGAAAGCTTTATAATATGTCTGACTACACCAACTCTTAAAACTCTGTCATGTCGAGCCCCGTACAACATATATGTGTGTATCCTCACAGCTGTTTGGCCCACAAAACTGGCGCATTAAGCAGAGTTATTATTTTTTGACTGGCGCGTAAACTTAAGAATAAGCGAGGCAGCTTCAGCTGGTATTAGCGCAGTTACATTCGGCTAAGCAAGTAAACTCAGCAAGGATAATGCTGATACTTAATGTGGCTCTTCAAATGCGCTTTAAGTACTGTAAAAACACCTGGCTTCCATTCCACAACTAACCTATTTACGACTAACAGATGTTTGATTTTGTAAACAGCAAAAATGAAAAGGTTACATCGCTGACAATTGCATGGAAAGGGGTTCTCTCAAATTATGCGCAATGCTAAGCAAACCTTAGTTGAGTTTAACTAACATAACTCAAAGCTTTCACAAGTCGAGCACACTCGACTCAAGCAGTTCCCACTGTTGGTCATCTTTGCCAGCTAGTTCGAGCTCCGTTGCCCCGGCGATTGTTCGGCTGCTCTAATGTTTGCATTTTATTACATTCAAGACTTATAAAACTTGCCATTGCGTGGCCTTTGCCCATGTCCCTGTCCGTGTCTAGTCGCAGTCGCTAAGTAGCGACGGCAGATGCTGCTTTGCAGTACAAAGTCAAGTCGTAAATAAAATTCTCTGGCCGTGTTTTGTATGCGTGAACGTGATTTGTTGTCTGTGCGGAACGAGCAAAGTGAAGGCCAACCAAAATCATAATTCTAGACCTTCAATAAAATGTTCGAAATAGATGCAGAATAACTAAGGACATTCGCCGCAAGGCTGAATCCATTTTATGCGTCACTCGAGTTCCATATTCAAGAAATGCTGAGACTACTAAATCATGTAGGCCCAACAACAACTTGTTGACTGTGGAGGGAGAGGCGGATGCGAGTCGAATAGGCAAAAGTTAATTTAACAGCTAAAAGCTCGCTGCTATGGCACTCGTATATTATTACTTCAATAGTCAACAGCTCGCTGCTGTGGCACTCGCTTAGCTGGAAAATAACTAAGCCAAAGAAAGGCGCGCTGTGTATTCGGCTATTTACGAGTCGGTTGCCATTAGATAGCAGCTGCAAACTTTGGCCCGCCTTCTTTAAATGGCATTAAATTACGCGGCAAGCAAAGTTTGACAAAAGTTTAAGAGTGCGCCAGCTCCGAGTGGAAATCAGATACAGAGGCGGATACAACAAAGCGCGGACTGGGAATAGAAATGGGAATGCAGGAGATCGGGATCGGGCTTGGCTCCGCTCCTAACTATGCAAACTCCGACTGAATGCAGTGTTGGGCAGGCTATGAATAACATCAAGATAAACTACTCACAATATTTACTTTTAATTGGAGAAGTTCAAAGAATAAACAAATGCGTCAAAAAAGTAAGTAAATAAAAAGCAAAGGCAAACAAACTTTTGTTTCAGCCACATCGATTGGCCCTTGACTAAAGCAGGGCTCCACTCAGGTTGCTTTAAGCAAGCCAAGTTTTCCGACTGCATTTAAAGCATCAAATATTCAACGTCTCTGGCAACATTTTTCGCATCTCGCCTTGGCCCGTCTAATTGTGTAGCTATCTGAATGCAAACGAGACGCGTCTGCAGTTCGTTTTAATGTTTCGTGTTTTGCCACACATACATACATATACACATACATATTTATTTTGCATTTTGCTTTGCTCTAAATGGTAATTAAAATATGCCTGGAGATTCGGCTGGACTCGCAGCTGGGTCAAATGCTATCAAAGCGCGCTCTTGTGGTGTCATCCAATGGCAAAGTGTGAAGGCGTCTGCTCGCCCTCTACTCTCCACTCTCCAGTCTCCGTCTCCTCGCAAGCTAATCTTTGAGGGGAGAATTTTAATTGGATAAGCTGAAACTGAGCTCTTGTTGCTCAGCAGTTGTTCAACTCGGCCAAACTAAACTGCGACTGAATTTAAATAAGCCCGAGTCGAATATTGTATATCAAAGGGCTTCGCACTCGGCGCACGCATTAAAACATCATGCGGCCGCTGTCTTTAAAGCGACTTGCCTCCTCCGCTGTCGCCACACCTGAGGGCCTCTTTAAAGCACCTCGAGCACCTGCTCCGGCAGCCGAAACTGTGTCAGCGCAGCTATTTGCTGCCAGCTACTTGCTGCCATTTTCTTTTTTCACGACTCGGCTGCCGCTGCTGTTCCTGGCCCAAATATCTATGTCTGAGTGTGTGGGCCTCCAGCTACGCTGTGGCAGGCAGGCAGGCAGCAGCCGAGCGGCTCATAAATGTAAACTTTTTCGGCTAGTTTCGTGTAATTATTGCCCGTGTGCTCGCTCGCCCAGCTGTGCCGTAATGGGCGGGGAGGGGCTGGGATGTGTGCCTGCCGGATCTGATGAGCTGCTGGCTGGAGCTGCATGGGCGAATCAAGCAGCAGACTGTGACATATTTCAAGCGGCTTTTGCATTTGAGCTGATTGCCAATTTAATCGCTACACAATTTCCGTGCTCTGACGGCGAAGGCGGAGCTAAGTGACGATTAGCAGCTGGGGGCGTGGCACGCATAGAAGATCTGGCCAACTGGATTTTCGCTCAGCTCATATGGGTACACATACACACACATGTGTGTGCGTTTGTTGGATATTTTATTTATTTATTGCGCTCTGAGTGTGCGTGCGAGTGTGAGTGTGTTGCGAGTGAGTGGCCTCTGTGTGTGGCATGTGGCCCATGTTCTGGTCGCGGCACATAATTCTGAAACGTGCCTTGCATATGTTTTTTGCTGCCCGACCTTACCACATTTGGTTCTTCCTCTTTCCCTTTTTTGCGTGCTCGAAAGGAACGCACAGCAAATACATACATAAGCCAGCGTAGGGCGCAAAAAAAGACCAAACCAGAAATTGCACTGCATTCAAAGCACAATGTCAAGCGAATGCTGTCAAAGTCGCGCGATCCACTCAATTAACTTGGCGTGGCAAAAAGTTGCAAACAAATTGCTGGATCCAGAGATTCTAAAGAGATTGCTTTTGACTTTTCATTCAAGAACTCAATTGGAATCTAAGAGCTGCGGCTTAAAATAGTTTGAGTCGTCGAGCTCATGACTAAAGCTATAATAAATACATAAATGTTCCCAGAAATAAAAGCATCCCACTCGCTCTGCCTTGGCTTCAGTTTCAACTTTCGTAGGTGTGCGTGTGTGTGTGAGTGTGTGTGTGTTTGTAGAGAGGTGCATGTGTGTATTAGCCAAGCAGACATGAAGTGAGTTGTTAAATTGTTAGCGCCATATCTGAGGTTTGCATTTGCTGTCTGCCTCAGTCCCGGCTCTGTCTCTCTGTCTCTGTTTCTCTCTCTTCTCTCCTTATGTCCGCCTCTCGTCTGCTGTTTTCGTGTTGTATGTTTTGTGACGCTCAGGTGGCTCTGCTGTTCGCACTGCCATTTCATGCCGCACACATGCACGGTCAATCATTGTCCCACACACACATGCATATAGTTTCACTGAGCGGTTTTGGCCGTATTCCTTTCTATTTTCTATTTTCATTTCTCTTTCATTTTGCAGTCGTTTTTTGTGCAGTTTTTCATGCGAGTCTTCATTGTTTTTGGCTGCTTTTGGGCCAGAGCACACAACAAATAGACTTTTAAATATTTTTGCACTAAATTTATCTGACGGCTGCGGGGGCGTTCACACATTCGCATGGCCAGAGATAAGATTTATGACAAAGCACCTGCGGTGCAATGGCACTGCACACAAGCAAATAGTCCAAAGAGTAGAGGTGATTTAGACGGGACTTTTGGACCGGGAGATACCCTGAACGATTCTACTATAGGATTAAATATAGATATTTGTTTGATGGGGTGAACATTTAAAATTTACTTTAATTTACAAAATAATTTAAAAATCAATTTATATGATAAAGTCTGTTGAATTTGAAATTGGATTATTTATTTCTAATTTTCATAGAGAGGGTTAAAGTATCCAATGTATTACCTCATAGAACTCTATTCTGTACACCTTAAATAAAATATTTCTATCGTGCTTAGTATTCTAGCTAAGCCAAGTTTAATTATTGTTTTTAATATGATGTTCACATAAGTCAATAATAAGCAAAGAATAGGGATACTTCCTTCGCCTGGTATCAAATATATGTACATATACATATATGTATATATATATTGAGCAGGAGTTTGTATATCGTATACGATATAGATAAACTAATATTTCTATATTTTGTGATATTATTTTTTTTATCTTGTTATTCATTATTTTAATTTAAAACAGACAAACACACGAACGGACATACATAGCTAAAATTATTCAGCTCGTCTTAAAAAAGAATAAGTATGCACATATCACTTATTTCATTTAACATGCTTGCTGCTACCTGTTACATAGATGTTAAGATAACCATTATACCCTTTCCATTTAAAAATGTCCAGGGTCTGAACAGTGCATATTTTCCCATAAAGATATTTCTTTTCGTTGTTTTCTAGTGTCACGTCTTTGTTATGGTAGAGTTTTTATAGCCTTTAGCTGGCGAAACATTCAATTTATGAAATACCGAATTTATGCTTGCAAATGAAGCAGTATATTCGCTTTAATAATGCCTCCCTTGGGGCTCCCATTACGCCCACAATACTTCTGCTTAAGCGCTGTTGCTGAAATTAGTCGAGCGCATTCTCTGGAGCTCAGCTCGGCGTTGGCTTCGTTCTTAGCATATTTCCGGCAGCTATTTTTATCAAGTGTCTTGATATCAAAGCGAAGCCTTTAGCTTATTATTTTTGGATGAGTTTTTTGATCACGCAAGGCATTTAATTTAATGTCCACTTGTGTGCGAGTTGGACTGAGTTGCGAGTCGTGTATGGATATATATCTGAGCTGGTGTGCCGGCACTGGCCATTTATCAACTTTTCAGTCGGCTCCATTTGTAGTTGCTTTATATTGCAACTCATAGGAGCTGCGCTGCGACAGTGGGCGATAATGCGAGTAGTATATGGGAATTTATTTGTATTGCGATTCGCAAATTTATTCAACTTTTCGCATATTTCACAACAATAAACTTGAGCAATTTCAACTTCTTTGGCTGTGCGCTTGGGCCGGCTCGCCGGCTCGCTAGCTGGACAGGAATTTATAACGTGAAACTTTTGCATTTTGCAAATCATTTTTAACACCTGCGGCAGGTTAAAGTTCAGCCAGCGCAGAAAAGTTTGCGAATTAAAAGGCAAAAACCAAAGGCGAAGGCAACATTCTCATATTTATATCTCGCTCAGCGGACGTTCCATTTAAAATGAGTTAAGCTGTTAATGGCACAATAATGCGAAAATAAAATGCCAAAAGCAGAGAGCAGAGAGCCGCACACGCGCCAAGACCCGATGTCAGCCAGAGATACAACAAATGCGGTCATGAAAACATAATGCGACCCGATCACAGATTACTCAAGCGAGACGCGAACACACTACACTACACACGCTCGGTCCGGTCGAAGATGCTGACCACAGGCAAATGGCAAGATTTATGGCCAGCTAATCGACATGGCCGAGCCATAAATCCAATTCCGATTCGAATGTCAAAAGGCTGCCTGCGAAAGGTGAAAGCCAACCGCAAATTGAAGCTGCATTTGAGTCCGGCTTTTACTCCACATGCGCCTCACATTTTGCCTTTTGTCACATGATGGTCTGAATGGCGCGCATTACGCTTATTCAAAACTTTTGGCCAGCACGAATCAGCTCGCATCACACTTGCAATGGCCAGTTAAAAATGAAATAATCTGTGAGTAAAACTCTGCGGAATAAGCTGCACAAGCCTCGGGCAGCAAATCTCAAGCAGATTTGCAAACAATTTACCCAAAACAAAAACAAAAGCAACAGCAAAAATAAAGGCGAAGGGAAATTAAATGCAAATGCAAATGGGAAAAGGGAAAAGCGCACGGGATGAGCCCTAAATTGCGCACATAGAGATGAGTTGAAAAGTTGCATCGAAACTCATTTGGTCAGTCTTTTAATGGATTGCTCAGTGAGCACTTTCACGCTTTTTAATGAAATGTGCTAAGAGTAAAGTTTGTGCGCCTGCCGGCCGCGTCACAGATTGCCTTTTGCCAAAGGACAGTTTCTGCATAGTTTTCAAGAGGTTTGATGCCAGTCCATCTCCCCCATATGACAGGCGAAAGTGTTCACATGGATCATTTACGTCGGCCAATGGGAGGGGATATTAGAAATAGCTGGGCATAGCCACATCAGACAGAGCCGGGCAGAGCCAGCTGGGACTGGGGCTGTTTGTATTCAAATTATTTATAACTTGGCCCAGAGTCAAGCGTGGACATCATCATCATTATCACCACCATCATCATCGACATGTGAAATGCTTGAAATCCGAGTTGTAATTACCTCTTGGCACCCGCAAACATATAATTAACTTAATGATAACGAGGGGGCGGCGGGGATGACTTGATTTTGGGCTACGTTTGTTGTGTTAATGGCTTCCGGTGTATGCGTGTGTATGCGTGTGTGTGTGTGTGTGCGAGCAAATGGTGGGCATTATAGGTATGTCGGCTGTTGCTTGTTCACGGTCAGTGTAATTGCATCGGTCTCGGCACTTGTGAATTTGAAACTTTTCAATTAATTAGCGTTGGCCCAGCACAAGTGGAGCCAAAATGGTTTGAGCCGAGCGTGCATTGGGCGGCGAGCAAGCGAAACTTGGTAATTTATCGGCTACACGGTGATAAATTCTAAATTTGGCCATGATTTGCACCTGGCCTTCATGCGAACAAGCCAGCCACAAATATGAATTGAGGGCAAGGAACGAAACAAGCAGCTCTTTGGGGCTTGAAGCTCTTAGCTGATTGCCGAGTTCTGCTGGTGACATTTCATTTTGGCACTCATAATTAAGTGTGGGCCCCAAATATGTCTCAGACACGAAATGAAATCTTGTTACAAATTAATTGGCAAAAAACTTACAATGCGCGCTGAGGAGGTTGAGCTCGGACCGCCAGGATGAGGCTCAGTGGCCAAAGGGCTTTGAAGGCCAGTCCCCCATCTACATGTCTGTGTGTGTGTGTGTGTGTTTGTGTGTGTGTGTGTGTGTGTGTGTGTGTGTGTGT